AAATCAATTAAAGAGTACATATAACAACACTTGCTCAAACTTACCAATTGTTTATGTACAACTTTCAGCACACGGATGCAGGTAGGCAACGTCTCGCATATATCGATATGGCCATATAATGCCGAAACCACAAGCTTACTGCAGCTCTATCTCTATCTGTGGGAGGTAGATACTGTATACTTCCTGTCGTCAAACGTTCCAAGCACAAGAATACGAGAGGACCACAATCCCCTCTGGCTCCCTGCGTTTGTTGTGGCGCAATCTCATCTCTGATCATTGTAATTTTAAACTTATTTGGCTTCTTGTTTCCATAAATTGTCCAATTATCAAGCGCATTCAAGTATTTAGCCAAATGATCGCTCCATCCCTTTGTAATAATATCTCTCAAATCAGACAATGGTATGTAATTCAACATGCTGTCATATACCATTATCTTCAGGGATGGGAGCTGAAGCTCGACGAGAAGCCAATGACGACGTTCCAAAATAGGGATAAACACCTACAATCATAAATAATTGTGCACATCAAATAAAATTTATGAAAACCTTTAAAATATTCAAAAAAATAAATACTAACCTTATCGACCTCCCACCACGCAGGATAAAGTTTAGCTTTTCCATTAGCCAACTTATATGAAGCATCTCTCTGATCCTTCAAGTGAGCTGCGTGAAAAGACGTCGATATAATATTCCATCGAGTATTTTTTTTATTTTCTTCAATTTCCTTATTATTAGAAGATGTGACACCCATGTATCAATATGTTGTTTTATAAAAAATACATATATTAGTGAATTTATTAATAAATTTTAAAAAAATTAATCAAAATGCAATATAAGAAGAATATAAGACTTACCACCCCTTCGAGATAGCCATTATCTTCAACCCCTAATAAAATATCCAACCAAGACTGATCAAGAAACAAATGATATGCATCGTCGATTTGGCATAGGTCAGAATAACACCCCTTGCTCCGCTCATGTAGATAAAAATCAACTGAGGTCTTAGCCCAAAGGGTATTATCCGTAATTATTTCCGGTAGTGTTTCCCTCTCCTCCTGAGGAATGATACTGGCCGGTAACACATACGAAAGCCAACTCGCATCCATCATATCGAGCACGGGATTGGGTTTATCAATATGTCGACATATGACGCCATGTGAATCGGGCTCTTGAACGGCGGGCGAGACCATTTGAACGAAGACAGGGGCCTCTTGAACGGTGGGAGAGGCTTCTTCGATGATGAGAGGGGCCTCTTGAACGATAGGAGGCGCCTCTTGAATGATGATAGGTGCATCGGGCTTATTCTTACGGAGTCTTGGCAATAATAGGGTGAACAGAGACGTAATGGCACGTGCATGACGTCTGATGCGTGAACCCCGTCGTGCAAGAAAAACCCGACGTAAAGCATCTACCTTATCGGGCCGCTGAAAATAAATTAATATATAAATAAATAAATAAATAAATAAATAAATAATGCCGAAAAAAGTTATTTGCATTTTTAGTATAGTATTAAACAAATTTACCTCATTGCGTAGAGTATTAACCTCATTCTGCAACAATGAAACAATCTCGCGTAGAGCGGTAACCTCATCACGTAAGGTAGACACCTCACCGCGTAGCGCACCATTGTCATCGCGTAAAAAACCCACCTCACCACGTAAAGATCGAACCTCATCACGCCATGCACTATTATATTCATGTAAAGTACCGACCTCATGACACAAAACACCGACCTCATCACGTAATTCCCCTAACTCATCCCGTGGAGGTAGAAAACAGGGAGATAAATGTCGTGGCCTCTTTGCCGGTCGCCTATCATGAGGTGATAGTGGAGAAGAGGCTCGATGATGTGATGGAATAGGTGATGGTAGAGGTGGAGAAGAGGCTCGAGCAGGTGATGGCTCCAGGTGTCGAACTGTAAAATCGGCCCGATCATATGATGGCTCTCGAGGTGGGGGGTGCTAATCATCTGTCCCATCAAAAAATCGCTTACTAGCTTGCCACCAATCAGTGTCAAGCTCAGCATCTGTGGGTGTCAGCCTCTGTAATGGATAGTTGACCACCTAACAATAGAAAAGCTCAAACAAAGTTAAACTTGTACTAGTAATAACTTGTTTATATGGTATTATTTGTGTATTAACTTACATCATTCATCGTCGTATATGGGAGTAACTCTTCCCAATCCAACATGTGAATCCTCTTCCAGGTAATAGTCCTAGGAATATCATTTGATTTTTTTATCGCATATGTCTGCATGCTGGGGAAAGCCTCAAATATCCAAATCTACAAACAATATAATACACAAATATTAGTAATTGTTAAATAATTAATTATAATTTTGGAAACATTATAATATAGAAATTCTTACCTTAAAGGCCCAAGTAAAGCCTGTCAAAGTGTATTTAGAACCATCGCCCCGCAAACTTTTTCGGTCCTCAAAGGTAGACGACAACTTCTTCCAGGTAGCTTTCCATAGATATGAACCTCACGGAAACAGCTTCCATGCATTTAGGTCATCTACCAATAATATTAGGTCCTCAGAGATTGGTTGTCTGCCCTCTTTGCCTAAAAAGCCAGCATGCAAAAGTAATAAATGGCATACTCGGACAACATCAAGGTCATCCATCCGAGTAAAACCATCAAACAAATATGTCAACATAACATCTCCACCCGTATGTTGCACTTTCAGCCATGGCCCGAAGCAAGTATCATCAAACAATTTTCTTTGTAGAGGTGTAAGCGTCGACGCAATTTTAGTGGCTAGGCTTAATTTATTCCTTAAGGTCAATGCAGCCGAAAAAAATTTCTACAAAAACAATAAACATACCAAGTTAGATATACCAAAAACTACAAATTATACACTATAAACAGACATGATATTAAACAGTGAAAACAAAGCCAAATATGTTTCAAACTAGCACGATATTCACCCAAGTCATTATTCCATCATAGTTCACAAAATGCATCAGATAACATTCCAGAAGTAAACACTTATATAAACATTTAAAAGGACAACATATAGGTTTAGTGCAGGTTCAAGGACAATATAAAGAGTAGTAGTTTATTCTTGAAACTTAAAATAGCAACACTGTGAAGTTAGTATTTGTCTTTGTTTTTTTGTTGAAGTAATGCAATTCATTCAAGTTTCAATTTGCAGAATAAAAGAAGTTTCTGAAACTTAAATTCGCAACGCGAATTTAGTTTCGAGTTACGATTTTCATTTTCGCGTTGCGAATTTGGTGTTGTGATTTAGGGTTATTTCAACAAAAAGACAAAACAAAGACAAATACTAACTTCACAGGGTTAAAGACTAAACAGTTTAGCAGTATTGGCAGCAACCGAATGAATTTAGCAATCTTAGTGAAATGGTTAATCTAATAATAATACAAAAATTTCAAAATAAAAATAATTAAAAAACTAACCCTCGGTGGTTGATTTTCCATTTCTAACTGTGAATGGTTGTGAGGGTTGCTCTGAGAGATGGAGATAGACGGATTTCGTCGGAAATGAGGACGGATTTCGTCGGAGATGAGGACAGATGTCGCCGTAGAGAGTGAGAGATGGAAATGGGACTGAGTTGTGCTTTAGGGTTTTAGGTTAGAGATGATTTGCGATAATATTGTTTACATTTGTGTTGCGAAATTAATATTGTGTTTCGCGTAAAAACATTTGACTTTCGCGTTGCGAATTTGACTATCGCGTTGTGAATTTGACTTCTGTGTTGCGATTTACAAATTCGCGTTGCGAATTTGGAAACTGAGTTGTGAAATTGGAATTCGCGTTGCGAATTTGTTGGTCATTTTGGCAAATCCAAAAAAAATTAGTTAAATTCATATATTATAAGGCATTTTTGGTCACTGAGGTTATTTTCTCTTTTTATTAATGATTTATTTTTGTTTCTCTAATATTTTATAAATTTATTCATCGGCATAAGATTATGTCCGTTACTGCTTTTAGAAATCTTTAAATATCTTCCATTGTTTTACCATTTTGGTCATCAGAAATGTTCAATTGTAGCCAATATATTCCTGGGACCATTTTTACAAAACCAAAGTTGTCATTTTCTTCTATATTAACCCTTTGGCTTAATCCCCAAATAAGTGTCTAAACTGTATATTTTTTGCCAAATAAGTGCCTACTGTTTTTTACCCATCCGGGTACCTAAAGTTTTCAAAGTTTAAGGGTTATTTCAAAATTTATGTTTATATATATATATTTAAATTTTATATAAAATTTTTAAAATTACCAACGCATTAATAGGGAAAACTAATGGCGTTGAAGATCTGGACATCTAAAAGAGTAACGTTTGTAACTTTAGGCTAGGAAAAAAAAGTCGTAAGCACTTATTTGTCACAAAAGGGATAGTTTGGGCTAATATTTGGGAATTAAGTCTAACCCTTTTGCTTCCCCTCAGTTTCTCCATTGAAGAAACATAAACAAATTCCATCTCTTTTCATTCAAGCTTTCGGTTGGAAAAAACGTCAGTGGATGGACGAGGTAGAAGCAAAGCTTAAAGAGAAGGTTCAAGCAAGAAATCCCTTCATGTCGATAAGGGCTAAGAAAGAGCAGAAGTTTACCAAGGAAGGTCGAGTTGAAGAGAAGGAAGCTTCAAAGGATGATACTATGTCGGAAGCTACTGTCTGTATGCTTATAGACCGGTTCGTCCCTTGGTGATTGAAAAGAAAAGAAAATGTATACAAGTTATGTTTTTGCATAACTTTTGTTCAAGCGTATATGTACAAAAGCAAGGCTTCAACTCTATGTTTGTGTAAATTAGAGTTGTTTTTATTATTGATATTGTTCATTGTTAAAGTTATGGCAGCTTTGCTTTGAATGTTCCTTTGTTTGTATCTTATTCCCCAGCGAAGTTATGTTTTTTTCCCCTGGGAATCTAGCAAATACAAAAGACTTAGAAAGTGCTTGAACCGTTTGATTATTGGTATGTGATTTTGAACAAAAAATAATAAAGGAATTGATAGTTGCAGAAAAGATTTTGTTTTGGGGCCTAAGAATCTGATATCTTTTTTTACATTTTTACATCTATTTTCAAGTGTTTCCTTTTATCTGTAATCCTTTTGAAGAAACTAAAAAAGGGTCATGAAGTTGAGCTTGCTTCGATATCTGTAGACGACATCTCGACGTTGATGAAGCTGTTGTCGTTGTAGTCCCACTTAAGAATGTCTCTGGTGTATCTGAGAGCTTCATCGACGGAATCCGGCTCCAAGCCGGTAACCATGGAAACGTACAGCTTATGATCGGTAAGCGAATGGAATAGCCTCTTGAACTTTACGGCAATGTAGTGGAAGGCACGCTGTGCCAGTGTAGCATGCCTGTTTCTATCATTGCAGCTGTTGCTGTTGGACAGTTGATTATGGCTGATAACAGGGTTGAAGTCGTGGAACCATTCGCATCGAGTCAGGGGTGCCTGCTCGATTTTTTCTTCGAGCAGGTCGGCTTTGTTGAGTATAAGAAGGAAGTCCTTTTGTTCGAATTCCGGATGGGTGACTATACTTTCAAACAGTTGCTTGCTTGCCACCATTTTGTTTACCGGAACACCGTTACCGTCTAATGAAAACTCGGCGTAGTCGGTCAATGAGACGCAAAACAGGACGATATCGACATCTTCGAACATCCCTACCCACTTGCAGTTCTCCCCAAGGCTACTGGGATGCAATCTAATAAGTTGGAACCTGAAGATTTGAACAAGTCATATTAAGCAAGATAAATATATGTGATTTAGTTATAACTAACCTTGCTGATGGATCATGTTGATAACCATCAACAAATCTTTCTCTATCTGATGTGGGAAATGAGAATTCCATGCAAGATAGTCCGTTGGACGACGTGATTCCCTCGGCATACAAGATATCCATATTCGAGGGCTCGTAATCCGTCTTTGAAATCTCAACAGCCTGAGAAGAAGATGAAGTTTTAAACTATAAGAATTGCTAAGAATACCAAGTGCTTTTAGCTCTATTATCAAGGAAATCATGGGGCAGGCTTACCCGTTCTAAGAAATAAGTAGCAGCTCCGGGCAGCGTTTCGAGTTCGTGTCTTCGGTTATATGTGGCCTGAAAGCCTGCATCGTTCCACAGCTCCTGAACATATGGTGCATAATCAGAAGTAGCATCTGGGAAGATGACTTCCAAATTACCATACACCATCACTTGGATAAGCCACTCCGAGAAGACTTTCAGTCGGGGCGAAATGGAAAATTCAGATTTACGATCAATCTGGCTTTCCCTGCCTGTTTCCAATAATGAAGGTCACACTCCATTTAACATTAAATTCAATTAGAGTACATAATATATCATATTGTGGTGTACTTGAAGGACCAGATCCATCGGCAATCTGCCTTTTTCTATTCTCTGTTAAGGCTTCTTCAAATCGTTCTCTCCCTTCGAGCAATACAGCAAGATAACCATACAAATTGCTTTGGATCATCAATTTTATATCTCGGCGTTCATCTTCAGAGAAGGAAACATTATACAGAATCTTGGCCTGAAATAAGCAAGTGATCGAATTCGATGTTCCGGTTAGACAGTCTATTCTTCATTTCCAGTGTCATAAAACCCAAGATTACTAGTCAAATTGATTACCTGCTTATATATTGTACTTGTGCCTGACTTTTGGTAGCCAACTAGTAGAAGTTTATGAAGCACTTGCAGCTCCAGGGTTCTCTGGTCGACATCTTCTCCGGCGGGACTTGTTGCATTGGGAGGAACCGGCAAAGACAAGAGAGCGCAAAAAAGCTTAACTCGTGTCTGAAAATAAGGTCCATGTACAACATCCATGTTATTGCTAAGGACATGGCATAAGGGAAAATAACTATGCGTATGCAGTATGCAGTATGAACATCCATATGCAAATATACCTTCTTCCATATAGGCCCCTTTTCATTATTCTGACCCTCTTCCTGGTACAATCCATCGGCACTTAGCCAAAAACTCGGTTTTCCTTCACAATTAACTCCGGCGATCTGGAAAAAAAAATTTAACAGATTGGCACTGAACTTACATGTCTAAAAGAACTCAATCATGTACAACAACAAAATAACCTGCAGCATCCACAACTCTTTTCTTGTAATCTCTCGATTATTTACGATTACTTTCGCATTTCCATTGCTAGCATGAGCCTTGATTTGTCCACCAACATTGAGCTGAGCAGTAATAATCTGGCATGGCCCGTGTCCATCCTGATTACTTAACAGAGCAGTAAGTTCAATTTTAAGGGAAGAGGACCAAACTTAGATTACTTGTAAGGCAAGACAAAGGAAAAGTTCAGTTGTTACCTTTCCCCACAATCCAGATACTTTGTCATACCAATAGAATCCTGGTTTTAATTTCTTCGGCCGGTTTCGGCAGGTTTGCAGAACATGCAACTCATCTTGATTCAGAGGCTCTCTGTTGACAACGATCAGCTCGGGTGGTAGCTGGTTTGCCATGCACGTCTTCTCAGAATTCATTGCCTGCTGAACTTCCAACTCATTGAGCAACCTCTTGAGAATCCTCGAACATTTTCCGAGACGTGATCGCTTCGATTCATCGATCTTCTTACCTATGCAAGTAACACATTTTCTTCCCTCCGGCATCGACCCCATTGCTCTCAATACACACTTGTAACAGAACTTTGCATCACAAACAATGCAAGTCTCCTTCTCAGTAAACCGGTTCCCCTTTAAGCACCTATAACATGACCCTTTTTCCCCCTTCCTCGCAATAGATTGTGCAGCAGTGTCGGTGCTCCCGGTCTCGGAATGGTTCGAATGCGAGCTCAACTCTTCTTGAAGCACGTCACATGATTCCGGATCACGGAAAGTTACTACAGATGGTTTTTTGACATGGCAAGTAGTCACTTTGTTATCCTCATCCCCTTTTTGAGAAGATATTTCAGACGATGAAAGTGAAGGTGAGCTTAACACTGACTCAATTGTATTGGAATCAACTAACTCTAGCTCCATTGATGGTCTCCTCAAACTATCAGTCGATGATTCATTGGATAGTTTTGGAGCTGAGTTTTTGGTCTCTGGTTTAGCCTTCACAATTGGTTGGATAACAGGCAATGAAACATCAGTATCACTCAAAACATAGGAAGAGGAAACCGGAGCCGCCGTGGGGAGCCGGCCAACGTCCACCGGAACAGCTTTGGGGATGTCAAAACTGACCGGAGGACCATGGTACTCAATAGCAAATGAGTACTCAACGTTACTGTCATCATCATAATCATCTTTAACAGATGATTTCCCAACAACAGGAAGAAATTTTCTTAGAATCCCAGCCATTAGTTGTTCGAAAACAATCACATGAAGCAAGCCAAAAGAATCAGACTTTGGCAGAACGGGAACAACATTAAGTTAACGATTCGTTCAAACAATTAAACAAAATCCATTTTCTTTTTTCTTTTCAACACCTAAACCATTTCTGAAAAAGACCCTTTGTTGTTTTTGAGGTCAAAATGATGTAGAAGCAAGAAGAGGAAAAGGAAAGGAAAAGATGGGAGACGTGCGAGGAGTGGGAAATATCCAGGAAAATGGGATTTTTGCAAACAAAACATTTAAGAATTATGAATATGGCGGAGTCTTGTGTAGGTGGTAAACGATGGGGACTGGAGAGATGACTGGACTGAGTTGGTAGACATATTTGTCTTACATTTATTCATTGTTCTTTTTCCAACTCAACGCGGTGAAGGGAAGAAGCTACAAGGAAACAGAGGGTTGACTGTTTAAGACATGAAAACTTCAAATGCCCCTTATATGTCATCATTATTACGTTATCCATTTATCATAAAATAATTAGGGTAAATTATGCATTTAGTACCTAAACTATCAATTTTGATCTATTTTAGTAGCTAAACTTTCAATTTTTTTAAAACTATGTCTGACTTTTAGTTTTTATTTTATTTTAGTATAATGCCGTTAAAAATTGTTATAATTTGGCACTTTTTTATGGGTAAATTACATCATTCATCACTCAACTATCTTCTCACTCCTATTTTGGTCATTTAAGTTTCATTTTTTAATTTACTTACTTAACTTTTAAATTACTCCTAATTTAATCACTCTAAATTTCATATTTTTTTATTTTAATTATATATTAATAATAAAAATATCATTTCACAAAATATTAGTGATTAAAACTTGAGCAATTTGAAAGTTGAGTACTTAAATTAAAAAATTTTAAACTTTAATGACAAAAATAGGAGTGAGAATATAGTTATGGGATGAATGATGTAATTTATCCACAAAATAATGTAGTGCAAAAGTTCCACTAATTTTATAAAGGGGTACTAAAATTAAACAAAATCTAAATATTATATATAGTTTGACAAAATTAAAAGTTTAGGTACTAAAATAGGCTAAAATTAATAGTTTAGGTATTAAATGCATAGTTTACTCAAATAATTATTGTATAGACTATACATTTAGTACATTAACTATCGATCTTATTCTATTTTGGTCATAAACTAATTTTTTCAAAATCCTACCTAACATTATATTTTGATTTCATTTGTCATCTACCATTAAAAATTAACAGAACCGCTGACGTAACTTTTTTCAATTATGATGTGGTATTATCTTATAGTAATACATCAAAATCACCATTAATTTTTTAATGGAGAGTGACCAAAATAAAATCAAAATTAAACGTTAGATATAATTTTAATAAAACAATTAACTTAAACAAAATAAAAATATAGTTGAACATATATCTACCTTAATTTCTATTAAATTGTTTATATGGTAGTAAACTAGTAATGATTAATATTCAATTTAACCTTTAAATTATAAGGTAAACATCATAATAGTCATTTAATAATAAGTTTTATTTCAATTTGAAGTACCAAGAAGTGTGTTATATTTAATTAATTTTGTTTGATTAAAATAAAAATAAAAGGTAAACGTTAATTCTAAGGATTAAATTGTAAAAAAATAAAAAAGTGGAAGTTTTCAATTAATAAATAATTTATTGGCAAGAGAAGGGCCTTTGTGGTGTGGATGGCTTCATATGTTCTCAAACACCTGATTTTTATATTTGAATGTAAAAGATAGAACAAGTCAACTGAGTAATATTTTAATGGGTAAATTACATTATTTCACATCAATTATTCTTATAATTTTGTTTTTATCAATTAACTATTTTTCTTTAAAATCATATTTAATGTTATGTTTTTATTTCATTTTGATCACCTATTATTTAAAAAATAGAATTATTGCCATGGTAATTTTTATCATGGCACTACTCTATGAAGACATATTAGTATCATCGTTAAATTTTTAATAGTGGGTGATCAAAATAAAACAAAAGCGTAACATTAGATGTAATTTTGAAAAAAAAATAGTCAAATGACCGAACCGAAACTATAAGAATTAAGTGACTAAATATTTCAAACTGGTCTTCAACAATACATTCATCCATACTGAAGTTGTTAAATTAAGATGAGTTGTCGAATTCGTTAAATCATCGATTTTCGATTCAATTATTCGAATGATCAAATAATATATATATATATATATATATATATATATATATAGAAGTTCTAAAAAAATTACTTGGTTCAACTGGTTTTAATTATTTATAATGATTCAATATCGTTAGTTGAAGGAATCAAATCATCAAATTTTCGGTTCAACTAGACGATAAACACTGGCAAGTGGAACTAATAACAAAGAAAGCTTTACAATTAGGGATGGGCATGGGTCGGGTTTTTGGTCCACCCGACCCTACCCGACCCAAGAATAAGGAATCCTCTATCCGAGATTCGACCCGACCAAAATAAGATTTTACCCGACCCAAACTCGACCCGATGTATAACTTAAAAATTTGACCTGACTCGACCCGAAATAATAAAAAATATTATTTTTATTCAATAAAAACAGTGATTTAATTGAAAAAAATAATATATAGAGGGGTATCATTGTAATTATTCCTAAATATATAAGGTAAAATTATATTATCTTTTTCGGGTCGGGTCTAATATTTTTCACCCTAAACTCGATCCCGTCTCAACCCGAATATCATATTGTAAAAAACCTAACCCAACCCGAATCCGAATTTTTAACATATATCATTTACCGACCTGTCTTTTCAAGTAAATACTACACAACAGAAACATGTTTCTGCAACTACTTGTAATAATCACTTCAGGACACCTGAATTTCAACTTCTTCCCCTCACAACTCATCTTAGCATGCCTTGGTCCCCTTGGCTTCAGTGTGAAGTCAATTTTCTCATGCAGATAAACGATCCTCAACTTTTAATAGAAAAGGATGAGTTTGGATCATATGAATAGTCGAGTGATCATTTAATAATTTTTAATAGTCGGGGGACGTTACCTTACTTTTGTATTGATAATATATTTTTCGTATCTCGAAATTTTAAAAATCTATTTCTAACATAAAATTGTATGCTTGAAAGTTGGGGTCACCATATCACTCTCCATGTCAAAGGGGTTCGGTTCCAAATGCACTGCTTTTAGCATTTCAAAGCCTCGAAGCTGTTGGAAGTATTATAGATTTTGCATCAGTTGATGAACAAAACTTAAATGATTTCTATAACTTGCAGTACAAGGAAGACGAAGATGTTGAGGTGTTCATCTACTTGCTTGATGTTTCTTGCCAGTGTTGTTTAGCTCGTCCAAAATGTACTTTTTAGCCTTCGGATTTTCGCATAATGACTTGAAATCGATAGGTTCATTATGTTCCATTGCCCAGTCTTCTAATGCCTTCCTCTCAGGGACTACCACGGCCACCAGAAATGACTCGAAACTGTTCCCGTAAACCCAAATCTGTCCGTCGGAAAGTTTCGAAAAACTCGGTTTTAGGGCCTTAATGGAGTACTATGTGCAACTGGTTGAATAGTTATGTGTACGACTTACCGATGCTATAAGAGGGCAACGCGAGTAATGTGTTCTCGATGTTCTCGACTGCAACATATTCGCTTTGAGAAAGCTTGAATATGTTCTTTTTCCTGTCGATGATTTTCATCGTCCCATCGGGTTGCAGTTCACCAATGTCCCCTGCAACGATTTCAACATATAGATATCAGTAAGAGTCACGGTTAGTAAGATCAGGAAGTGCATATCTCTTTAATACCTGTATGAAACCAGCCATCAGTAACAACTTCGCCTGTTAGGTCTTGCCTCTTGTAGCAACCTGAGAAAAGGGTGTTTCCCCTGAGGCATATTTCTCCTCGTGGCTCATCGGAAAGTGCGTCTTATCCCATCTCCGGCACCGATTCAAGCCTCACTTCGATGGTTGTTACTGGAACCCAACAGTTCCAATCGTAGACATTACATTTTCAAGGGAAGTATAACACCCACCACAGGTCTCAGTCAAACCTATCACGTTGAAAAAAACAGAATAATTTCAATAAATTTGAGCAGAAAATTTTTCATTAACACTTGATTTAGTTGTTACCATATCCTTGTGATAAATTAGAGCAGCAAGAGACCCTCAGAAACTCCTCCACATGCCTCGGCAAAGGCGCTGCACCCGATAGCATTATACGAACTTTGCCTCCCAATGCTCGTCTAACCTACAAGAATAACATGAATTTTAACAAGTAAATCAGGGGTATTATTCAGAATCGAGAAAAATACGTCACGATCGGAAAATAAACCTTCTCGAAGACGAATTTGTCCATGAGAGGGGATGCTTTCTCGTGTGGGAATCCATTCTCCATGTTTCTCAATTTGCTGTTTTTAGCTTTTACATTAGATGGACTGTACACGATCTAGTAAATCCAACAACCAAATATAAGGTTTACCAGTAAACTTACTAGTTATAGGCATACTGTAACAACTTATTCCGACGTTGGTAAAGTTGATTTGTCGATATGTACAAGTGTATATGCGGTCATAAACTCTTGGAACCGCGCAAAATGCTGTTGGTTTTAGTTCCTGGACATCGTCCATTAGATAACGGACATCCTGCAAGTAAAGCATGATGATTTAATTAGATGCTTTAACACTAAAGAAGGTAAGAGTATGGAAAATTGTAATCTTATCCCTTGCCAGAATCCTATTGAGGAACCTCTTTTGATGAAATAGGTCTCCATCATCTGATCGTAGACGTGAGCCAGAGGGAGGAAGGAGAAATATGTATCCTCTTCTGAACACTAACACAATTCATGTCAAATATGTTAAACTTCACGTCAAAGACTAACTCGAAAACACTTCGATGTTTTACGATTAAAAGGGTCTATGTTTGCTTTCTCACAGGTTTGTCTGTGATTTCTATCGGTTGATATATAGACAAAACTTTTGTCATGATTGCCCTGTTTGTGAGAATGACTCCCTTTGGTTCTCCTGTTGTTCCACTTGTATACATTATGGTGCACATATCAGTCTTCTGTTTCGGCAGAAGCTCACAGTCCAAAGAACCCTATGAAACTTTAATAATTTAAGGGCACAACAAAGTTGAGACGTGTTACCAGCTCGGAGAATTCTTTCCATGAAAAGACAGATACACCGAGCTCTTCGGCTTCCTTCTCTTGTGTGGTGGAAGCATTTGCAAAACTGACAATGGCTGAAGAACATAAGATGAACACTTAAATTGGTAAGCTTTTACTGCAGAAAATAGGTAAATTCAACGTCAATGCACCTAATTAATGGATTCTGCACTTACTTTTTAAGCAAGAACAACATGCTGGAAGGCATGATAGGATCCGTCCAGGATCAAAAGCGTATCATTAAACGAAGCTAAAATGCAATGCAACCGAAAAACATATTGCACCATCTGCAATGAAAACTTACAGAAGGCAGCTTGTTCTCTTGAACAAAGGCTATTTTAACTTCGGCATGGTTAACGATGAACTCCACTGCATTAGCACTTGCAACAGCGTAAAACCAGATAAACTATCACCTCGAAACCAATCGAAGAACAACTGACAATCATTACACCGAAAAATGTATCGACAAAGAGATGTCATACCAAGACTATCATACAGAGGTACATATGTTACAGCTTGACTGTTACAAGCCTGTGGAAGAGTGGCCAACAAACAAATTATACAACACAAGTCACTTAACAGTCAGAAAACAGATACTAGGCAAGGCATACCTCCATAGAAATGATCCACTCCGGACAATTGGATCTGTAGATGCCGCATCGGTCTCCCTAGAAAAACGACATTAGATTAATAAACAAAGTTATAAAGGAAAATTTGTGTTTAAACTGGTTTAACATTAGGATTACTTACAGGATTCACACCCTGGTTCCTCGTGGCAGAACCGATTCGGAGAGCAGCATCATAAGCCTCCTGATACGTGATCATACGCCTCCTGATACGTGATCATACTTAAGGACCAGCTTGCTGCAAAAGCAAAGGAAAGCAAATTATTATATCCTATAAAAGGAAAGAGTAAACACCTCAATTTTCAGTTTTGTCCAAGTGTTAACATGTTCTTATCCAGTACATGGAAGTTTGAAAGATTTGATTTTGAGACAGACCAAGGAAATTGCAAAGTGGTAAACTTTGAGCATTAAGGGTGGGTTTGGTTCACGGAATGTAAGATTGCCAATAGGAATGTAAGATTACCAGGGAATAGGATTACTGGGAATGTTGTATTTTGTGTTTGGTTGGTTTAGCAGGAATGTAAGATTACCGTGTTTAGTTAAAAGAATAAAAGATTATTGATGTATATTTGATCAAATTGTCTTTATTATATATTTGTTTTTTTAACAAGTTGTAAAATATTTATATATTTTCTTTAAAAAATTTAAATTTATATAATTTTTTTACAAAATTAAAAATATAAAAAGGTTAATGAAAGGGTAAAATTTTATTTTAACCCCTGAACTCTATATAAAATTTTAATTATAGACTTTTTTGCAAATCTAAAATAGTTTAAGGATAAATTTGTAATTTAACCTTTATAGAATTTTTATTATTCAATGACGGAAGAAATATATTTTTGGAAAAAAGCATTTAAGGACATTTTAGTCCAAAACGTCTGTAATCTAACAATACCTAAGGAAACAAAGGTAATGACATTCCTGATAATATACCCTAAAAATCTACTATTAGTAATCTTACATTACCGAAAATGAGATTCTCGAACTAACCAAACAGAGGAAATCCCACATTCCCCTATCCAAACGCTCTTAAGTTACTATCTTGTTGAAGCATTTGGCCTGTTCTGTAGCAATCATCCTGATATTACCTTAGAATCCGTGGTTTGTAGTCGTCCCAGCATTCGATTGGTCGGATTCCTTTAAACAGAATCACTGCAGGAAAAAAAACAATATTAGAAAGTTAAAAAGCGTCTACCCTATTAGCTCAGCTGGGTTAGAGCGTCCTGCATGGGACAATTATTTTTCTCTATTGTATTGTGTTGGTCTAATTGTATTTTTGTCCCTGTTTTATACTCAAGTTTATGATTTAGTTCTTATATTTTTATTTGGAGTAATTTGATCCTCCGCTTTTAGAATGTAAACATCTTTTCAACATACAAAACAATCATTATTAACTTGATCGTAAACCTCTAAATTTAGTCCTTATACTATAGTTTGACATGATCTGATCCTCCACTTTTATGAAGTAACATGCATCCTCTCAACACAAAATTACCACTTATCAACATAGTTGTGGTTTTTTTAATAAAGAGGTTGGTCAATATTTTAACCACAATAGCTGTTAAAATAATATAAACATTTATTCTGAAACATCGATAGTTGTTAAAATAATATAAAAAATCATCCATTTATTTTAGGACAGTTTATACCCTAAAATTACCATAAATCATTTTCATAAACCTTATGAAAATATTTCAAAATACAATAAGACATGCTTTTATAAAAATATTCGAGGTTGACTCATCGCAAGTCGTCCTTATATCATATAAGTACATAATAAATGCACTCACCGGGTATGCCTTACTATCAAAATTTGATTATTCTTGAACTTTTTCCTTACCTTTTGCTTTGCTCTTATCACTAGTTCGATCACGATCTACACGAGCATACATACAAAACATATACAAATATAAAATATGTGTTAGTATTATTACTAACATTTTATACTTAATAATAATACTCCAAAAGTACTATTATTTTCTTATATTTACTCTCCATGATTTTACTCGTGTGCGACCAAAAGAAGTGTTTAAAAATATGTCAAGTGGTTTGTTAAAGTAATTCATTAAGTCTCCTGAGTGTTGTTCATGAACTAAGAATTCTCATGAAGAGCTTTGTCGAACGCATAACTTGTTCAGTTGAAAAGGAAATTCATCTAAAAGATAAAACTCATTAAACGGACTTTTATAGGAATGGTTATATTTAAACGAAAGATCTAAGTCATTAAGATATAAACCCTTCATGTTTTCAATTCCTAAAATAGTAGTATGCTTTTATGAGATAAGGGTGTACCTTCGGGATAGTGCATCTACTATATTGTTCTTACCTTGTTCGTTTAACCGCTTGAATAATCCGTGGTTATTATGGATGATAACCTTCGTCGAAAGTATGTTGTGTTGCCAAACTTCAAGCGTTTGAACCTTGTCAAAAGAAAAGAAATATATAAGAATATCATCAAAATAATTAACAACATACTTATCTTTTAAGAATTCACTCACATTATACTTACCGAATAGATATGCTTTGAATATTCGAAAATTTATTATTCTATTAGGTTTAAGTAGAAACATTATTCCAAAGAAACATGCAATATCGTTATGGACTCTAGAGCATGTATAAAATATATTCGAGAAAATCACACTCCAAACAAACAATGTCGATGTGCAGAAGCTCCTATCTGACAATGTCCTATTCCCTCGTCCGAGCCATCATTATAATCAAATATATTATAGGTGATAAATTATTAATAAAATGTCGCGTTAACATTTTTTTATAAAATGTATCATTAATAAAAGAAGCGGAAAGTTTTCTTTTATAATAGTGATTATTAAAATTTGATTTGATTTCAATTTTAGAATTTTAAATAATCAAATTTATAAAGTGATAAAAAATATGTTATTTTTCATTAAGATCTTATCTAATAGTTATGTCTGTTTTATAAAAAAAATAATTATATCTATAAGATATACGTTATTAATTACTATTTTTTAATTAATATTACTTTATAATCATTATAGACTATTAAAAAATTGGGTTAAGTATACAAATTGTATCTTGATTATAGAATATTATTTTATTGAGTCCCTCGATTATAAAAAATTACAAAATGATTTCTTGCTAGAGGATGTTGTTTTGTTGAGTCCACCGACTATTAAAAGTTATAAAATGGTCACCTGACTATTTATTATATTATAAATTCGTCATTTTTCGTTAAAAATATGACGACAATATGAGATGGATGTTAATCTGTTGGAGATGTGATAAAATTTAATCCAGAATCTTAAACGACTATCATATACAACATGTTAACATCCAGATTAGACTATCGTTATCTTTTTAACGGAAAATAATGAGTTTGAAACATAATAAATAGTTAGATGTTAATTTTGTAACTTTTAATAATCGAATTGCTCAATAAACAACATCTTATAGTTGATGAATCATTTTATAACTTTTAATAGTCGATAACTTAAGAAAATAAACCACTATAATCGAGAGATCGTTTTTGTATATTACCTTTAAAAATAAAAAAATAAAAAAGTTTATTATTTAGTTAAAAGTCTAAAATCACCACCAAGTACGTAGTGTGAAAGGGATCATACGTACTTAGCCTCCTGTCTTCCATTTCCTCCAAGATCCTAATCCTGTGGGTCACCACATCCAACCTTCTTTTCCATTTTTCCCATCATGTTTTCTGATTCACGCAACCATATACTTTTACTTTACAAATCCCAAACCCAAACCTATGATTAACCAATAGTAATAAACCACGTCATAAAAAACGACTGATTTAATTATCCGTTGACTGAGTTTTGAACAGATCATTACGTGTCAAGCAGCTAAAGCATGGGTGTTCCGGTTTTCAAGATGAATTCGTCCGCAGGGGATAAAAACTTGTCGATAGCCTTAAATTCATCAATTGTTTTCGTCTACCCGCCATCTCCTCGCGACAAATCGTTGGGTGTGAGACCAGACAAAATAGTCAACCCTCAAATCTAAAACACTTAACACTTGGTGTGTATGTGAAAAACAAACAATCCACCCATCACCGCTCTATTAAACGCCGCCGTCTCCGCCGATTATGGGGTTCATCGCCTGGGCCCCATCTCCATCGCTGACCCCTTCTCCATCTCCGTTATCTTCAGCGTCAACTACTCCGTCTTCGACGTCGTCGTCGTTGTCGTCTCCGCCGCCTTCGAAGCTTCCAGTTGAATTCAGTCCAACGTTGATCGCCATGGTGGTGGTTGTGGCCGCAGCATTTCTGATCGTCACGTATTCGCGTCTGATCTCGAAACGGCTTATCCCTCTAATTCTACGTTTACTCAACTTCATCCGCCGCCGCAGTCGGCGACGACAACGCTACTTACCATCCACAACGACCGACCTCGACTCACTTCCGCCATCTGATCCGTTCGAGCTCCCTCTTTCCCCTTACGGCCTCGATGAATCTGCCATCAAAACGCTGCCGCTCTCTCTGTACAGTTTGAAAACCAGACCCAACAACAGCCCCAAAGACTGCGCCGTGTGTTTGTTGGAGTTCGAAGACAACGAATATGTCCAAACACTCCCCGTTTGCTCGCACGCCTTCCACGTGGATTGCATTGACGTCTGGCTGAAATCGCACGCTAATTGCCCGCTGTGTAGAGCTCGAATTTTCGCCACGGAATCTCCTTTCACACCGTTAATGGCGGCGAGAATCCGTCCGAGCCTTGACGACACGGTTTTCGTCAACAACGCTCTGGATTCCCTGACGGAAACACCTCTCCAAACTTTCCCGAACAACACCGTAACGGAGATAACCGAAGAGGCGTCACCGAGAAGAACAAACGGAAGCAATACTTGCGAGGAAAAGTTTAATTTTGTGTTGAAAAGGTCGTATTCATTTGGTTTCGAGAGGAGTTTAGCGGCGGAGAGGATGATGATAACGGAGCCCAACACGGCTTCGCCTTGGAGGTATAGAAGAGGAGGGAATGGGTTTTGGAGCAAAAGGGCATCTCCGTTTGGGTCGTTAATGATGAAACCCAGGGTTTTCTCGTTTAGATACTACAGAGGGATGAAAGGTTCACCCTTTTTCCGTCGGAGAGGGTTTTTCCCATTGTCGGAATCAAGCATCAGATTTTCCGGCGGCGGAGGCGGCTCGTCGAGAAGAAGTAAGTCGATGGCGAGCCCGATGTTTTTAAGATCAACGGCTTCAAGCGTGGCGGCTTTCTCGTCGAGCCGGCTCCGTTGCGGCGACCCAGAAGCATTGCTCTCACCGGAGAGGTTCAACAGAAGATAAATAAAAAAGAACAGAGAAGCCATTCTTTCTTCAGAGAAAACCCAGAGTGGACACGTGGACAGCTGGATGGAGAGAACGGCGGGAGATAGGAGAGCGGAAAGGCGGGGAGGCATTAATGAAAGGTGGGGAAAGACTATTAATGAAGAAATTGACGAGACACGATTGAAGGAGGAGGAGGAGGAGGAGAGGAGATGACAATAAATGCAGAGGCGTTGGAGTTTGGTGTGGTGTGGTGCGAATACGGTGATTCTATATAATGCCGTTGGCTTGGTTGTAGTTGGTTCGGGTTTCCAACCAATAATACTCATACGAGCATTTAAGTAGCTTAAACCAGTAACCTCCAAAATCCACAACAGTATAAAATGTAATAGCGTTGTATGGAATCCTTTAAACCTTCAAATTCAAAAGCCGTGCACCTGCTCTAGATGTCAGTCTATTACGTTATTTTCGGGGTCAATTACATCAACCTCCTACTTAACGAAGTTAGTTATCATCTTGACGGTGGCAAAATCCCGTATGCAATGAATTAGCAACCTAAATGACTGAGCTTTGAATGTAATCACAGGGAAAGTTGAAGGGGTTTGCATGCAATTTACCTATTAGTTTACTATCGAAAGGGATAACACCTAGATCATGTCTGCAGTGATAGAGGCTGAGCAATAGATGATGCTAATAAATGGATTTTGGATGTTTCCTGCTTTTAAATTCACTCAGAACTTTTTAATGAGTTTTCACTTTTACAGGGAACTGTGAAGATTGGATCTCCAAGTTAAAAAAGAAATTTAACTCAGTGGTATGCCACATATATATATATATATATATATATATATATATATATATATATATATATATATATATATATATATATATATATATATATTCTATCCATCTGAAAAGGTCCAGGTTTGAATAATTGCGTTTACTACCAAGGTTCCAGCTTCGAATAACAGCATCTATAAGTGTCAATAACTAAGAAATATTCTGAATCTAATTCCTTAACTTTCATATCCGCCCACAAGTGCTCCGCTTCACTCACCTCCCCTTCCTCACAAAAAGGCTGGGGGCTAATCCCTCGACAGTAACATTCTAACAATCTCGATAGAACCCTCAAGCCCTTTCATTTGCAAACAAGAATTCACCAACAAAATGAAAACAAGCGGGGCAGAACCACACTCGTTATAAGTTTTAACTAGCAATTCAAATAGTTTCAAATGAGTGACTTCGTTTCCAATACCTGGGGTCCGAATCGCAAGGCGGATGAGTTCCCAGGCACGGGTTTTGAGTCGAGCACGAGGGAGGATGTGAATTTTGGTGGAATAGGAGGAGAGGTTGTTAGCACAGAGGGATTTTTGTTTGGTGAAGAGAAAGAAGAGGCGGGCAAGCTGAGGGTTGTTTTTGAGTTGGAGGGTAATAAGGGAGAAATTAGAAGGGGTGAAACTAGAGGAGAAGAGTGTGAGGACAGAGAACCACTGATGGATGAGAATGGAAGTGACGGCGACATTGGGTTATCGGACGGTGGAGAAGAGGTATCGGGAAAGGCGATGGAGGAGGAGAAGGAAGGAAAGAGGGGATATAAGCCCTGAAGCTGTCATGGAACCTGCTATTTTCAGTGAGAAGTATCGGTTGCTCTTGATTGATAAGAAAACAAAGTTTCTTTGTTAAACTAATATGAGGAAAATTTTGGTCGAATTTCTGTAAAGATTCAAGTTTTCTACTATTTCATTTCCTTAGAACTATGAAAACCCACTCAAGTAAAACTCCATTGCTACTAATGAACAATAAAAGTAGTGTTATACACAACATTTGGAAGTAATATGATATCAAACTAACCGCAACCATAGTTTACATCTGGTTTGGCAACAAGGGACTCGAATGGTACTTCGATCCTCTCTTTCACCAAGCATCGAGCTTCTCCATCTTCCATTACCAAGACTTTCCCAGGTGGACATGGAGCATCGGAATTCTTTTCTTCATTTGCACGCCGTCGACTCATGCCAAAAATCTTTACAGGGTTACCTTTCCCAATGCTTGGCACAAAATTTGACAGGCTTAGTATGTACATTACGCCAACAAGGGGAAGAAATGTCTTCACTGCTGAACTTATGAAGTGGCCAAATCCTTTCCTCGAGTTCTCGGATTCGACTTGCTTGGCACCGGTGGAAATCCCATTTGGCAAAGGCTTGTATGTCGACTGTAAGTGTGACAAAGAGCCGTTATCTGGAACCAAGGACCGAGGGGGGCGACTTGGATATGGAGGAAGGAGGAGATCACTGTTATTCTCCACTGTTTTACTAAAAAAAGCAGAAGCCTCAAGAATCACTTCCATGTCCTTCCCTTGATATTCTTCTAGCTTCTCCAAGACAACTCTCCGGCTATAATCGATCTCGGAAAGGGCAACTTCTTTTTCATAACTTTGTTGATGTTGCAGATTCTGTTAAGTCAAGAAAACTAAACTTCTAATCCATTTTTTTTGTAAGAAAAAACATGTTATCGACACAAAAATCCCTATTTCAAGGAAAAGACTAACACCTAATGCTTTGAATCCATTCTTACACAGGTAACTTCATATAGAAATGTGTTCACTTTGCCCCTACTCCAGAAAAATAATTCATTCTTAAGTTCCATAGCATAAAAATTAGTGCTTGAAATTAGGATCCAATGCGTAGTTTTCTTTTCGTTCCACATATTTACATGCATACATGTCAATAAAATCAGGGTTTTTTTCCCAGAGGGCTTAGGGTTTATAACATAAGAACGTAACATTTAACAAAATTGGGGGGGGGGGGGGGATAAGACAAACCTGTAGGGCAAGGAGCTGGGATTCCAGTGATTCAAGGGCATATCGAATATCCAAAAGCCTCTCGGTTGTTTCTTCGTCTTCGTCTTCATCTTCTCCACTGAGACTTTGATGAGAATCATGGCCTTTGTCTCCGTTCAACCTACCATTTTCATCAGCTTGGTTTTGTGGGGTTTGTTCGTATGGGGGAGAAACAGGGTTGGCGGCGGTGGCTTTTGTGATGCAGCTGCTGATTTTCAATCTCAGCTCCGTCGCTCTTGCTAATGCTAACCCTACTCCCTCTTCTTCCATTTCTTTTCCCCCTCCCTTTTCACACTGGTTTCCTGTTTGTAGTAGCAGTAAATTACGTTAAATGGCAAAGAAACGACAGAGAAGAAAACGGGGAGGAAAATGGGATTTAGTTGTTAATTTCTTTTCGGAGAGAATAAGGCCAAGAAATTGGGCTGATAAACCCAAAGCCCCAACTGCAATTCAGAAGAGCAAACTCTAACCTCTGCTTTACAAAAATAAGATTACGTGGGCTCTCTCTCTGCTACATATGGTTCCTATACTGCCACTTGTGAAACCATACAACAGCATCATCTTCTCTTCTCATTTCTTCATTTTTGTGAATGATGTTCACGACTAAATTCGTTTATGGACTTGTTTATAAGATCATTTACTCGGTCTGGTACTTATTAGGACATCTTTTATAAGAGATGGGAAATGGTTGAAAGACTAAACTAGGGATTTCAATCATGAAGCTTATCAAGATGTTTTAGTTACAATACAATATTATACACAACAAATTCTCACATTAAGATGCATGCAAGAACTTCAAACACAATTAGGAATGACAGCCAAATCACAACCTTCTCAATGGAGAAACTTTGTGATCAAACAGGATAACGAGTGAACGAGCTCAAATGTTTGAAATATATCCTCAAAACTTGTTTCTTCGCCTCATTTGATCCTCAAGTGCCAGAGGGTTTTCAGAAAGTTGCGGTTATGATATGATTCATCTGTCATTCCAAAATCCCACCTTTTGCATTAAATTCAATCACTGAGCTAATTCTTTCGAAAATCGATATCGAAATGCGAAGTTGTGGGAGATCCACTCCATGGTTTTCCCCGTCTTCCTCTTACAAGATGGCTGAAGATTCTTCCTCAGTGAATCAGGCATAAATTGCTCAACCATCTGCAACAAACCAGCTGAGCAAACATTTGAATCTTTTGCAAAATAGTCCATAAGCTTTGGTAACATGATTTTCTGTTCTTTGTTGACACTCCAGTTTGCCTGTATGTACTCCTCTTTCGCAACTTCGAGTTCCTCGAACACGTTCTCCGGTGTGTATATACGGACCTGTAAGTATTGATATGAATTGAGCATTAACATTTTACCCTGCAGCCATAAAATATGATCTCAAGGCAAACGCATACCGCAGGGTCCGAGTAACTTCCAGAACAAAGTGCGAAATGAAGAAGAGGTTCTGCACATTCAATTGCATATGCTCTTCGAGGAACTCCGACCTTAAATTTTGTCTTCGAAGGAAACAAAAACCGTAGCCACTGCAAGCAGATGTAAGAAATCAGTTCTTTCAGTGTTGTGATAAACAAGTGCATTATTTCCTAACCACCATAAGTGGATAAAAGTTTTGAGGAAGGAAAAGTACCTGTCCAGGACGAGGCAACCGACATCCCAGAATCGAACTCTGTATTGTGTCTATGCTTATGGTCTGTCCCCCCACATCATAAGATGCCTGTATCATACATAGGCATGTAAATGCAATGGTAAACATCGATTCCATGATCTTCGGTTAAATTAACCAGAGAAGCTTTGCTCACCTTGAGTAATAAGGACAATCTCTTCAGATTGTTTTTCGGAATGCCATAAACCAGAAACGCCTGAAAGAATGAAGCATGTTGCATGTTCTCAAGCAACTTATTGGGAAGAGATTGAATAAAAGATGAATGCTAAGGGGAAACATTACATGCATCACCAGAGAATTGTGTACATTAATCCAGAAAGCTAGCTTCTCTTCATGTTTCATCCTTCGAACATCGACTTCTTCCAGCTGATAAACGAGTGACCTATAAAACACTCGATCTAGATTCTTTATTTCGGTTAAATCAAAATGAGAAATCAAATGCATATGGGGATTGATAAATAAAGCTCACCTATAGTATTGGAGCTTATGTTCAATATCCTGTAACTTCTTACCATCCCTGCAGATCCATTGAATCTTCACCATTGTGCAGTAAGGTCCACTGTACTCCTTTGGTTCCCCAATGCTAAAAGGGTTTTCAAAATGTGAAATAGGAGAGGCCAAGTAATCACGGTTAATCAAAGGTGGATCTGCAAGTTCACAATATATGGCTGAAATGCTCTTGATCATCTCCTCGGAAAGCCAGTTCGGTGTTTCGGTCACATGATCGTCAATGCCGGTTCCGAAATGCTCTGCCGAGCTGTATCCATTTGAAGTATCCATCTGAGCTTGCTGGGAATTGAAAGGGAAAAGAAAATCAGAAAGCATTGATGTCTAAATGCTAACGGAGTTCACATTGATATAATTCACCTCCAACATGGACAAAGGCAGAGAATGGTATTGTTCTATAGCTTTCGCTATGGTTCGTCGGGGAGAATTAACCGAATATGCCGATCGCTGATCCGATAGCGAAGAATGGCTTCGATAAATGCTGGAATCTAACAGTTGTGCACTACCCCAAAGATCATTGCATTCCTTTGGACGATTTCCGATAGAATTCCGAGACGAAACCGGATCACCAGGTTGAATAGTGTCATGTGTCTGAACCTCTTGAAGCATCTCTTTATGTGCCATTGAAGCAGGTTTCGGCTTTTCATGAATGGTCTTTAGAGACAAGAATGTTTTATCGAAATTTTTACGGTACAATGAGAGAAGATACTTCTCCAAGTGGACAACTTCCAGTTCTAAAACTGCAATATCCTTGATAAGTTCCTTGGCATCCTGGAATTTGATTGAAGTACCATTTCATTAACAAAATCAATGGGATTTTACCCCTGTTAAATGTAATTAACTCATGGAAAAAAGTTACTTATAAAAGAAAATAGTCACAAAACTAATGAAATTTACTGTGGGGATTAAATTTTCAACTGCTAAATCATAGGTAAACGGCCTGTGACTTAATGCCTTCTCCAATGTACTCCGAACCACAAATTGGTCCTGCAACCGTTCTTGAAGCTGTAGAATCTGCAGAAAATGAATATGGAAAATATTATAACTTTGAATATATACACACGTACATAGATAGATAGATAAATAGATTAAAGGATGAGAATTTGTACCTCCAGCTTTAACGAGTTTCGAACTTCGATATTCGAAGTTTCGATCTTAGCTTCAACATGACCCTTTATTTCTCTCATTTCCTTCTAGGTAACAAAATTCATACAATCAAACGACTATGATCTATATACTCGAAGCTTCAAAGATTGTGTTTAACTTGTTCTTCATGTCTTTTCCTGTAATGGATCACTGTCAATGGGATAAATCCGTATGTTAAGAGCTGAAAACGGAGTTGTCTGATCTTTGCAGATATATCATCTCTAAGGAAGTGACTTTTATCATGGTAAAAGAAAGCTGAAGAACCCTAGACAGAGCTGAGACTCTCATTCCTAAGGAAAAAAACAGTATAAGACTATGATTTGCCTGCAAAAAATAAATGGGAAGCAAAAAAAAAACGTAGGCATGCAATGTTTTTTTCCAGTACAAGATTAATAGAAGAGAAGACGACAAAATGAAATAAAGATGGAATCAGATTCAGACATTACCTGTTGGAAAGCGTTTGTGTTGTTGCTTCCATGAACTCCAACTGGTTCAAATATGGTGATACCCCAAGTTGCTTTAAAGTATAATAGAAAATTCACTGAAACCAGCATTAAATGCACCAGAGACATAACCATAAGATATATACAAATTCTTAACCCCAATACAAAAAATATAATATTAATATATGTCACAAGAAACATCCAAAACCAGCATTAATTGCAGCAGAATAAAGTATAAAATCTGGGTTTACAAGGTACACCAGATTCAGGATGATGGATTTTGACTACTCATTACACTGATGATATATATATATATTTCTTTTATAGGTTAATATAAATAAGAAGAACCATTGTTGTTTTAACATAGAGAAACATTAATTAGTGTACTGAGGGCAAGATAAGATGCATAGGTACAAGAGCTATACATGAGCTGTATACAAATATGTGCATGGAAGCAAAGGGTGGCCATATCATTTGACTAGTCCCTTGTCTTAGAAAGCTATACCACCTTTGAAGATAGCTTTTTAGAATGGAGAGGAGAGCCTTTTTTTGCATTAAAAGAAGGGTATATGTCAGTTTTTGTTGTGCCTTTGTGGTGGCCTTTCTGATTGACCGATCAGGCCGATGGTCTATAACAAAAAGTTGAACCCAGGACACTTTTAAAGGGAGCGAGTATGTTTCTTTCACGACGTTAATATTTAAATCACTAATATTTTTTTTTTAAAATCTAATGTTTTATCTCATTAAATTAATTTTATGATGAACTTGAGATTATTTATAACAATAATTAATTGGTTAAGATGAAGTTTAAACCTTATGCATGAAAATGTAACTTTGAAAAACGCTTCATGAAGGAGAAACGGCACAGCTGGTAAACACATAAGAGCAAGGATGGAGCTGGCATGGGGGAAAGCTAACTTTTATAATGAAAAAAATGTCTTGTTTTTGCAATCATGCTGCGTCACACGTATGGGTGCATGCATTGTGGAATGATGACTGTAAATGCATGGTTGGTGGGTGCACGTGCCTTTCAACATAATCAAAAAGGAGGGTCGCACTTAAGATGCAAAAGGACACCGAAAACCCCCTCAAAAGGGCTGAAAGTTGAAGGTCAAACAATGATTACCATTTGCATGTTTTTTATTTGAAAGAAAAAGAAAAGTCTGCTTTCTTTCCCATTCACTTTTCATGGGTTATGGTGCTATAAATGGAGCAGATGATGGAAATATTATGGATGACAGTTGACAGACGTACATGTAACCGAAATAAGTTCACAGAAAAGATTATGTTGTTTAATCTCCACCAACTTCAATCTCTGCTCACCGCTGACACTTGGGGGATTACCATCTTAGCTCTAGATATAATCAAGGCCTCCTGGGGAAAAATATATATTATATTAGCTGTCAGATAACACTATATGAAATGAACCTTCTAACAATTATATATGCATCTTGGGTCGAAACCCCCAAAGCGAAATGAAGTTTGTTTTCAAGGAAGCAGAACCGAATCTCAACGTGGAGATTGGCGCGAGTCTTGACTTTAAGTAGAAACCCAAGAACAGACACAAGGATGGATCGAGGAGATGTTGAAGAACACGAGCAATGTTTTTTAAGAAAAAATAAATTTTTATATACCTTCTTTTTTTATTGATGATCTACTTTTACATTATCTAAAATTTTATAATTTCACATTCTTTAAATTTTTTATATAACTTCATAAGTTCGCATCATAACATAAAATCATATGTCTTCCATGGTCACTCCTCTTTTGCAAATGCCACGCATTGCTGTAGATCAAACAGACACCGATGAATGCAGCACTCTGCACACTAAATATGATGGAGAAGAAAACACTTTCGTCTAATATTCTTCTTTACTAATCACCGTTAACCCTATAATTTTTAACTCGGGCACAATCCCTATGAAGGAGTCGTTTGAGAACACCTATGGAGGTGATTTTGACCTAAAATTTCGTTTGAAAGGCAAAAACATCCCTAAACAATTCATTTTCAACTAAAATTTTACGTTTGAAACGTCATTATTAACTAAAACCAAAAAATTAGAAAAACGATACTTTTACGTGAAAAACTCGTATCCAAAAACATTCTCAAATAAATAGGAAAGCCATACCCATAAACTCACCCAAAATCCACTTAAACTAAAACATTGTTAGGCCTTAATGACAGAATGCTCATTTTACCATAAACCGGACCACCTATTGTTCAAAACATTAGTTATTAAACTAAACTTATGAAAACATTAACGATCTCCTTGTAGTTAGGCTTGTAAACGAACCAAACGCACACGAACGGAGTTATGTTCATGTTCGTTCATTTAATAAATAAACGAACATAAACGAACACGAACATAAATGAACAATTTTTTTTTGTTCATGTTCGTTCATTTAAATAATAAACGAACACGAACGAACGAACATAAACGAACACAATAAACGAACGAACATAAACGAACACAATAAACGAACAACACAAACACAAAAAAAACTTATTCGAACACAACAAACGAATGTAAAAAAAAGTAAACAACAAGAATAACAACTTAAAATTCATTAATGTAACCTGCAACTTTAGAGTTAATTTGTTCGAATACGACAAAAACATACATAAATCATAAATAAACTATATGAACATAATGAAGTCTTAAAGTTAATTTGTTCAACAAAACAATCTTTTTGAAATCCAAACAACTTCAATAATCTTCGTAACATATTCAACTTGCCCTATGTTCGAACATAAATGAACGAACATAAATGAATATAAATGAACGAACATATAATCGAACGCTCACGAACATAAATGAACTAACGAGCCCTTTGTTCATGTTCGTTCATTTAATTAAACGAACGCAAAATCTTGTTCATGTTCGTTCATTTAATAAATAAACGAACATAAACGAACTTCCCGCCGCACGGTTCATGAACGGTTCGCTGAACGTTCAGTTCATTTACAGACCTACTTGTAGTTTACACGGGTTGTTTTAAGGGAAAATTATAAAACATAGACTTCATCACTCAATTTTATCTTTCTCCTATTTTAGTTATTAAGGTTTAAATTTTTTTAATTTAATCATTAAACTTTTGGATTGTTCTTATTTTTAATCATTCTAACATTATATCATAAAATTTTTTATAACACGAGTTATCTTTTTAATATTTTATTATAACATAATTGATTTTATTATTAATACTTATATTATATAAAATTTAAAGTATAAAAAAATAAAAATCTTATACCTTAAATCCTTATATCAAGCTCAAACCTTATCATTTACATCCTCACCTCACCCTAAGTCGAAGATAAAATGGTTGACAAAAATAAAAAAGAGAAAAGTACATAAATGGTCCCTCTACTATAGGGCGTTGTTTTATTAAGTCCATTGACTATTAAAAATTATAAAATGATCTTATGACTATAGAGTGTTACTTTGTTGAGCCACTGACTATTAAAAGTTACATAATTGTTATCAAACTATTCATATGTCTCAAACTCATCGTTTTCATTAAAAAATTAATAGTTGTGTGAGTTGGATGTTAACCTACTGACGAGATATGATAGGATATGATATCAGAATCTCAAACGACTATACAACTCAAACAGTTATAGGGTCAAAATTTATCATATCTCAGTCAGCAGGTTAACGTTCAGCTCATATGACCGTTATATTTTTAATAAAAAATGTTGAATTTGGAATATATGAATAGTCATGTTACTCTTTTACAAATTTTAATAGTTGAATGACTCAATAAAGTAATGTCATATAGTCGAAGGATAATTTTATAATTTTTAATAGTCAAATGAGTCAACAAAGTAGATTATTATAGTCGGGGACCATTAATGTACTTTACCCAAATAAAAAATAAAATAAGTTTTTAAGTGCGACCAATATAGAAGCCACGTGCTCCGCACGCGAGACCCAATCCATTAAACCCGTGATCTGCGTATAAACCAACGTTGCCCAAATCCCCTTCGCTCGAAAAACCTCCGAACAATGTCTCTGCTTCTCAAATCCTTCCTCCTCCTCTCCTTTCGCGCCAGACCTCTCGCTGCGTTCCCTTCCATTTTACTCCCAAAATCACTTCCCAATACCCGTCAAAGCCGAACCCTTTCCTCTGTTTCAGCTTCCACTTTTCAATCTCCTCCGCCCGTTTCCTCCGAAACTCCCGGCCCCATCCCCCCTCTCACCGACTCTCTCCGTTGGGTCTCCCGCACCGCCTTTTGCGGTGACTTGTCGAATGAAGACGTGGGTTCTCGGGTCCGGGTTTGCGGGTGGGTCGCTCTCCACCGGGTCCATGGTGGCCTCACCTTTTTTAATCTCAGAGATCACACTGGCATTGTCCAGGTATTCATTTGCAAACTTGCTGTAAATGAAATTGTAAAGTTGGGTTCTTTTTTGTTTTTTAGAATGATGGTTTTGTTTTTTGAATTATAGATTACATCACTTCCGGGTGAGTTTCCTGATGCTCATGATGCTATTAAGGATTTGAGGCTTGAGTATGTGGTTGCAGTTGATGGTGTTGTTCGGTCTCGGCCCAGTGAGTCTGTTAATAAGAAAATGAAAACTGGCTCCATAGAGGTATATTTACTCGATTTGAGCTTATTCATTCTTTATTACTATGCCTTTAATTCCGTGTAAATTATGTCTTCCAGGTCGCTGCGGAGC